TGGCATGTAAGGTATAAAACCCCACAGATGTCTCTTCCTGGGAGTAATAAAATACGACAGTAAGGCATTAAATAAGTAACAATTTGCTACCCTTTCATGACCCCCAAAGATCAGTTGCCTGAGGCGGCTGTCACACGCTGCCTAGCGGTAGGGGTGGTGCTACGGTGGTGGTGCTAGGATTATGCAGTGGCTATTAGTGGAGGGTGTTTTTTTCCTGCTTGCCCAGGCCTCTTTGACACCCATGCTTGGGATGTCAGGCTCAGTTTATACAGTTCTTTACCCTCAGAATCAATGATTAAAGATTGTAAGGATTGGTCTTAATGAACAGGCCGCCTTAATTCTACAAAGAGCCAGTGTGGTGTAGTGGTTAAGAGTGGTAGACTCGTAATCTGGTGAACCGGGTTCGCGTCTCTGCTCTTCCACATGCAGCTGCTGGGTGGCCTTGGGCTTCTCTGAGGCCTCTCAGCCCCACTCACCTCACAGAGTGTTTGTTGTGGGGGAGGAAGGGAAAGGAGAATGTTATCCGCTTTGAGACTCCTTTGGGTAGTGATAAAGCGGGATATCAAATCCAAACTCTTCTCTTCTTCTCTACGATGCACCCCACAAGTGAAAATTACACAGGTCCAGAGTCAGGGCAGGCAGGCACAACTCCAGGCTCCTATCATGTATACATGCTGCAGTGTTTGAGCTAGGTGTGAATTATCCTACTGTAAAAATGTTTTGGGTATCCTGCTTTTAGTAGCCAGCTTTTACAGTATATATCTCTATATAAAATTCCAATGCATGTTTCAGAATGCAGTCATACCTTGGGTTAAAGACGCTTCAGGTTAAATCTTTTCAGGTTGCGTCCTGCGCCGACCCGGAAGTAACGGGTTACTTCCGGGTTTTGCCGCTCGCGCATGCGCAGACGCTCAAAATGACGTCACGTGCGTGTGCAGTCGTGGCAAATTGCGACCTGCGTGCGCGCAGACGCGGGGTGCGTTCTGCTCATGATGTGAACGGGGCTCCGAAATGGATCCTGTTTGCATCCAGAGGTACCACTGTAGAAAGTTAGCATAATGAACAAAATGTCAATTTCCTTGGAAATTCCTTATTATTCCCTATACTCTTGCAACTTAAAAGCCTGTCAGTTTATCCATTAGTCCTATACTGTATATCCCATTCTTTATGTAACCATTATGTAAATGTACATGGGAAGTCACTCTTTCGCTTCTTGGCAATCAGGATTTTAGCAGCACAGGCACATATTTTGTACATTTATTACCAGGGTGAAAAATACTGAATGTTTCGAATGGAGAGGTTTGAAAATGCAATTCCATAATTGTGCTTGCCCATGATGATTAAAATACACTTCAGAATAGCATTTTGTAAATTTAATGAGTCAGGTTCAGGATGGATTTGAGTATCAAAAGGAATCATTTATGTGTGCTTTTTCCCCCCCCTTAAAAAAATCTAGGCGGAATTCCTGAAATCTCACAAAGGCATAATACACTTCAAAGCATACAACTGAGTTTCTAGAACATAATAAAGATAGACCCTCAGTTTCTGCTAACTTTTGTGACCATGGTGGACTGAATGCTTGATGTTGCTAGATCAACAGCTGCCAAAATGATCCTCTCCACTCCCTTCCTCAGTTTTGTTGAATGTTACGAAAATCATTTCAGAGAGAGTTGAAATGGGCACTGAATAATTATTGGGTCAGCAAAACGGAACACATATTCCATCTAATGCTTTCAAAGCACCTGTGTTTGCAACCTGTATACTGTTATTAGCAACACTATGCACTGCTGTTAATTAGCAATTCTGAAAATTAATATCCCACTCAGCTTCATTTATTTCTCTACTGCAACACCAGCAGCATCATTCAAATTTCAGAGCTTCCAACATAGCAGAATTATTGGAGATGTTATGGGTGTATATGTTGCCCACCATGACTCATCTCTATGGTGTCAGTCAAGGAGCTTCTTTGAATTTGAAAAGAAATGAAGGATATAAACTTTAGTGCTGATGCCCCATGGCACAGACTTAGACTCTGCTCTTTGGTTCTCTTTATGTCTATAAACAGCAGCAACTATTTGTTTCTAGAACTGCAATGTTTTGACAGGTGAACTCTTAAATTAGTGATAAATGGATTATCTCACACATGCTTCTGATTCAGAATGGATATTAAACCAGATGAGTCTGGAAGACATCCTCCCAATGCCTGAGTTGAATCTGGATTTTGAAACCCATTCTGATCTAGAATTGTGCTCTTTAATATCATCTGGGGTAAGTTGAGCTTACAAGCCTGCCTTATACCTAGTGCCTCACCTGGCATCATCAATCTTACTAGATGTGTGAGGCGAGTTCCCATCCCTCTGTATAAAGCTGCTCAGGCTTAGAATAAGCACTGTCACACATCAACTTAATATTTAGGGAGACCATGTAGTCAGGAGCAGGAATGCAGAGCACAGAAGAGAGAAAAATAAGCACCTCAACTTTCTTCAAGAAGTAATCTAGCACAATTAAACCACAAGGTCAGAGACAGAGTGCAACAAATCTGCCACAAGGCGGCAACCACCAAAGGAGGTAATTAGTGAACAAAGTTGGCTCACTGCATAACTGCTTTGATGCTTTGGGTAAAGAGGTCTACAGATCTTCAAATAAGGCTTTTTCCAGGCAGCCCAGGGTAAGGCTTCACTCATGGAACAGGCAGACTTTCCTGGAATCCACTGACCAGGGAGTCCTTATTGAAAGCCTAAAGGTCACCTCAGCACAGTCAATATACTTAAAGCAAATTGTACTGGATAGTTCTTGTGTAGAGGCATCACTAGTTGATCCTTTTTTGCTATTTTTTTCTAGCAAAACCAGTAAACAGAGATGGAAGCCACTTCCCATGTTATCCTTCAGTAATGAAGTCATCCAAACAATATAGTGGTGTTAGCAACGTTAACTTGTCCTATGAGTTCCTATGGGTTCCAGCAGACCTATGTGTTTTGCAGATTTATGCTCTGATGCCCCCTCCTGTTGCTGGTGGTCTGCTTGGGCCCTTTAGGGTTTGTGTGTAGGAAGTTATCTTGGTCACATATAGCTAACAGTTCCTGCCAATACCTTCCTTCCTTCCTTCCTTCCTTCCTTCCTTCCTTCCATCCATCATTCATCATTTTTTAATTTGCATACCGTCTTTCTGTCTTACAATACTCAAGGCGGTTTACAAGCTGAAGAAACAAAAAATGTACATCTTCTAACAATCTAATGCAATATAAAAATGTGATAATAAAACTTTAAAATAGGCAACCTACATAAAAAGTAACATTCAACAATCATTAGAATAGTATGAAATAACAATAACATATAAAAGTTAATCAGAAATCCACTCAACAGTTACAATAAATAATTTCTAAACTATAATCAATAAAACAATGGCAAGCCCTTTCTTTCTTTCTTTCTTTCTTTCTTTCTTTCTTTCTTTCTTTCTTTCTTTCTTTCTTTCTTTCCAACACACTAGAAGTCAGCTCAACCCTCAAGGCATTTGGGGGGGGGAATGGCAGCTGGCAAGATTCATAAAAAAGAGGGCCTTGCTGGGCTCTGATGTGAGCCCCATTGCCTTCTTTCCTCAATAAGGGATTGTCAGTGAAACTCTGAAAAACACTCACAGATTCCTTCTGGCTTGGACCAGAATCCAGTTGGGGTGAAATAGATCTGGGGAGGGACAGTTGTTAGAAATTTCGAATTCCACCCCATCACAACTCTGAATCTAAAAGTTCCATAAGGCAGACACATCACAATTTCCTTTTCTTATATAAATATTTATATGATTAGAGACTTTTAATTTGGGGCATATCCTACAACTTTTTTGTTTTGTTGCCATAATCTCTGAACATATGTAGGGAACATATGGCATCCATGGGTTTCTTATAAGAAATTATTAATATTGCCACTGATGTAGTGACTTGCAATAATTACTATGTTGTTTTAATTGTTTTTAATTATTCTTTTCTTTACTTTGCTTCTAATTAGAAAAAATATATTTATCCCATTGCTTGTGAATAGACTAAAATTGCTTTGACTGTTTGTTTCCTCTTCCTTCTCCCTGCCGTTCTCATCTATGCTTCCACTATTAATATTTTTCCCTAAAGCTCTTGAGAACAATAAGCATTAAGCATTGCACCACTAACTTTTAGATGATTTTACAATTTCGGCTGTTAAATGATTGGTTGTTGTTTTTGGAATATTGCAATAGCAAGATGTAAGTTGAAAGAGAGATACTGTTGTGCTGTGCAAATTGTTCTGCATTAAAAGACTTTATGATGTGGGAAGTACTAAGCAATCTGGCGGAATAGTTTTATTTATTTAATTTATTTCTAACATTTAATAGCCCGCCAACTAATACAAAAGGGATTAGACAGCACCCACAAGGTAGTATTAAATTATGCTTTCATTTTCACGCTGTCTTTTAATAACAAAACCAAATTTTCTTCTTGCTTGGTAACTGGCTAAGTAAATAATCAACGACCTTAACACAGGGGGATTGTACTGTGCGAATTTCTATTGTATATACTCACAGGATCTTTCTTTTTATGTGTGTATCCATGCTTGGTGATCACAGTAAAATTCCTGTAGCTCCATGACATATCTCGTTCAAATTAGGGTCCTACAGATTTTTTGGCAGCTTTGGGGGAGCTTGCTACAATTTTTTTCATTTCCACCAGTTGAGGGGCAATCACCCTTTCTTGCCCCCCCCCCTGCACCTCCAAATGTCTCAGGAGCATGGAATAGAGTTGTTTCAGTTGGGCCTCTGCTACGTCATCTTAAATAACGGTGCTCCCCCACATTAAAATTATTGGGTTTTGGACAATCTGCAAATATTAATATAGTGTTAGAGGGTCGTTTCTGCTGAAACTGATTTTTTTTTATAAAAAAAAATCTGCATCAAATGCCTCAGCTTTAGTCCAGTTGGACTTTGATTACTGAAGTTTTTTTAAAATATATATATATAATTTCTTCCCTCTTTCTTTTAGTTGATGGCTGTATTCATAGAGCTGCCGGCCCCTGTCTAGTCGCAGAATGTCGCAACCTGAGTGGCTGTGAAACTGGACAGGCAAAAATTACTTGTGGTTATGACCTGCCCGCAAAATGTAAGTAAGCTACTTTCCCCTCACACATTTTTTAAAAATCAAGCTGAAACTTTATACATACCTCACTTCCCAACACGATAAATCAAGTGAGGCATTCACTTACCAAATTAGCAGTAAGATTAAATTAAGCGTGCTTCGTGATGACCTTTGTCCTTCGGAGGAATTGAGATGTTTTAAGAGGCTGGAGCTTCTTTTGAGTAAGGGAAACATGCGTGTTTACGTTTTGAATCATAGCAGACCATAGATTGTTTTGCATATGCTTGTGTTTATGAAAAACCTTCAACAGTTTTAACAAAATGTGCATTATCAAATTGATCTGCATGGTGGACAGCTTCTATAAATGGTGCCGATATCTTGGCTGTGAAATGCATTTTGAGCCAAGGAGATCAAAGTGATGTATTTTGTGTTTTCAGCTGCTGTGTATAGGCTGATTGGCAATTACTGTGACAGCATCTGTCACAGTTAAGCATTCAGTGGAATACTGTTCTCAGCACCAGAATGTTTTCTCTCTCTTTGAAAGTCGAATTGTCAAAATTCCCATTATATGTAAATAGAGGGAAAAAGGTTATTTTACTGACCTTCTTGCATAGCTATTTAGCCACACTTGGGAAAGTAAACACTGAAATAGCAATTGTTTGCAGCCTGGATGTAAAATCACACCACAAAGTGGGGCATATTGTGCTCAATAGTTTGGAACATCAGGGCAGTATTTAGCAATCCAACTCAGTTGTGTGAGACTGTGTTGCAGGAGCTGGAATTTTTTGTGCTCTCTTTCTTATATGATGTTCTGAGTTTGCGGCGCGGAGGTGGCTAGATTCCCCCATAAATGTGTTACGACTTTGTGAGGGGCCAGATCCCCCTAAATTCTTAGATTTAGTTAATGTTAGGAATAAATCAATGCTTGGAGTATTAGTGGAAGCTACCAGATGCTGAAACTAGCAGCTTCAAAAAGACAAGGCCAACCAGTTTCCCATGCTAAGAAGAAGATGGGTTGTTATTAGCAAGGAACAAAGAGTACTTGGCCATTAGGAATGATTGGCAGTGCAAATGCTGCCAACCAGCTGTGAGGGGAAAGAGATTTTCTGCTCATCAGGCAATGGCTTTTCCACCTGCCTTGCCCCAACCTCCAGATTGTTACAATAAAATAAAAATAAAATAAAATAAAATAAATATTAAAACACAGCATTTCCTCATCCTGTCCCAACAATTAGAAAAGTGTACAGTGGTACCTCAGGTTGCAAACACCTCGGGTTACAAACTCCGCTAACCCGGAAGTAGAATGGAAATCGCGCGGCAGCAGGAGGCCCCATTAGCTAAAGCGCGCCTCAGGTTAAGAACAGTTTTGGGTTAAGAACGGACCTCCATAACAAATTAAGTTCGTAACTCGAGGTACCACTGTACTTCTTTAAGTGCCAGGGTCAGATTTGAAAGGTAGTCTACATTTTATTGTATTTTCAGTCTTGGTTTGCTCATCCAGTATGTTCATTGCAATTTTCCTCCATGGGACAAAAGAAGAAGACACAATTTTTGGATGTTGTGACTTGTATGTGAAGAGCAAATTTCAGTGAAAAACAAGAAGCAATAGGCTGTTTTGAAAATTCAAGCTTATAACTATATAGAGTGAACATTCTGTGAAGTTGTATATGGGTGTGACAGCAAAAATATGAACAAATAAAAAAATATTCCCAAGTAGACAAATATTATTACTTATACTACGTTAAACAGGAAGCTGACATGTGGGAAACAGATGCAGCATGGAATTAGAGTTTCCATAAAGACACATTTATGTCAATATTTCTATATCCAATTTAGATTATTTAATTATTATGTTAACACAAGATTTAAAAGCTGAGAAGCCTGTAGAACATCCAAGGACCTGGGGGCTGCGAAGGATATATTTATATATATATATATGTGTGTGTGTGTGTGTATATTCTCACCCTTAATAGTTATAACTACATTATAAACTACCTCAAGAACTTGGTTATAATGTATGGAACAGCAGCTTAATGTTTGGTTGGTGGTTGTTTATTCTTTCATTTGTTCAAAGTATTTTTACCCCTCTCTTTAGCTGGGGGCAGGCAGAAGGCTCTCAGAGAGTGTCTTGTAACTATGACTAACATGAGAAGACAACTCCCTGCTCTCAGGGTTATAATCTACAAAAATGCAGTATGGACAGAAAAGGGATTAGTAGGGAAGAGGAAAAAAACAGATGAACTGGTAAGAATTCAAGAGTATCTGGTGTATCGGCGGAGCCAGTTGAGAAGCCTTGTAGCCTGATTTAGTAGAAGGAGAAGAAGGAGGCGGATGGCGCTGGTTGCTCTGGGGAGTCCAGTGACTGGTCTGAGAGCATTTGATCATATCTTAATGGTGAAACTAATGCAGTATAATCTGATCAGTTCCTGGATGGGAGAACACTGTGTGCCATGTAAGATACTCTGAACTTTCTAAAGGAAGACTGGGATATATGCCTAGCAGAAATAGGTAAGGTAAAGATAAAGGACCCCAGGACGGTTAAGTCCAGTTAAAGGTGACTATGGGGCATGGCACTCATCTTGCTTTCAGGCTGAGAGAACTAGCGTTTATCCACAGATAGCTTTATGGGTCATGTGGCCAGCATGACTGAACTGCTTCTGGCGCAACAGAACACCGTGACGGAAACCAGAGCGCACAGAAATGCCGTTTACCTTCCCGCCACAGTGGTACCTATTTATCTACTTGCACTGGTGTACTTTCGAACTGCTAGGTTGCCAGGAGCTGGGACACAGCAACGGGAGCTCACTACCATCGTGCGGATTCAAACCACCGACCTTCCAATCGGCAAGTTCAAGAGGCTCAGTGGTTTAGACCACAGTGCCACCCGCGTCCCCTCCTAGCAGTAAAAGCAGTAAAGGAATAGGGTCATAACCATATATACTAATTTCGGAGTCCTTTGGGAGACCGCTGTTGCTTATGGACCTACAGTGGCATAGTCCATGCAGAAGACAGAAATATCAACAAACTTGGAGAAATGCCAAGGTTTCTCTTTAGAAAATTCTTTAGAAAAATGAGGAAAGCCCAAAACAGCTAAATGGAGACTGAGCATAAATGAGCATCCTTCTCAGTGACCATGTAATACTTACTGACTGTAAGTGGGAGAGCAAAGGGAGAATGAAGCAGAGGGGCCGGAATCCTGAACACACCTTTAAAAAACATGCCTTTTTAAAATTCAGGATCATACCAGAGGTTTTATGCTGATCTTAATTTACACACTCCAGAAATGTATTAACATAGTCACTACCCATTAGGTAACACTGTGTGGCTATTGATTTATCTTTCTGATCAATTTAATGTTACAATGTAGATCAATCCAAAGTGATAATGTAAATGTGCTCGCCAAGGCAATTCCTGCTGTGATATAAGTAGTGATATTGGCATTATCCACAGTGGGAATAATTAGCTGGTTTAATTAGAGATTAAAAAGCACTCATTGTGTATTCATAATAATCTGTCTTTATTTAAAACTTTATACTTGAGGTCATTAGCCTTAAGGTGGGATGATTTAAATCTATGTACTTGTTTTTATACCATTTAGGAAAATATAATTAAATCAGTACATTACATAGATATTAATTGCAGTGCATTGGTTACAAACTGGACAATAAATATTGCTGTAATTGTTAAGCATACATTTATTTTACATCGTGTGTGTGTGTGTGTGTGTGTATACATATACACAGACACTGGTCTTTATTAAAATATAGCTAGAATAATACAGTGGTACCTCGGGTTACATACGCTTCAGGTTACATACGCTTCAGGTTACAGACTCTGCTAACCCAGAAATAGTGCTTCAGGTTAAGAACTTTGCTTCAGGATGAGAACAGAAATCGTGCTTTGACGGCGCGGTGTCAGCAGGAGGCCCCATTAGCTAAAGTGGTGCTTCAGGTTAAGAACAGTTTCAGGTTAAGAACAGTCCTCTGGAACGAATTAAGTACTTAACCCGAGGTACCACTGTACAGTGATGGCAAATGTCAAACTGCACATGATACTACTCAACTGCATGTAGTTTTCCATAACCTTTTTTTACATCAAATGAAATAGTGGAGGCTGCAATCCGCAGTTGAACCCCTGTGCAGAAATCACAGAATCATGGAATTGTAGAGTTGGAAGGGACCCCAAAAGTCATCTTGTCCAACCCCCTGCAATGCAGGAATTTCAACTAAATCATACATGACAGATGACCATCCAACCTCTGCTTAAAAAACTCCAAAGAAGGAGAGTCCACCACATCTCATGGAAGTCTGTTCCACTATTGAACAGTTCCTACTGTCAGAAAGTTCTTCTTGAATCTCCCTTCTTGTAACTTGCAATCATTGGTTTGGGTCCTATTCTCCAGAGCAGGAGAAAACAAGTTTGCTCCATCCTTCATGTGACAGCTCTTTAGATATTTGAAGATGGCTATCATATCTCCTCTCATACTTCTCTTTACCAGGCTAAACATACTCAGCTCCTTCAACCTTTCTTCATAAGGCTTGGTTTCCAGACCCTTTATCCTTTCCTCTTGCACAACGTTCCTCTTAAAACAAATAAATCTGCCTCTCTCTATTCCTCACTAGCTGTCCCCCCTCCCCCCAAAGAATGCATATCCATGTCAGCATTGGACAAAAGCTGCGCCCAAATGGTATTACATGCAATGTCCTTTGCATGAAGAAATCAACTGTTCAAATCTCCCATTTCAAATTCTCTCTGTAGGCCGAGTTAGACAAGCCAATGTTTCTGAGCCTCATCTTTCTACAGTGCTTAACTTACAATAACGTTGCCAGTGTTGCACATGTATTCATGCCATGGAGGTATCTTACTTCTCCATTATGTGTCTTTTTCATTGGGTAACATTTGTAAATATTTAATGGGGAAATTGTGCTAAACTTAATTTAATGAGCTGCGTGCTCCCAAGTTTAGGGTCTGTTGCTTCCTTATTAGTGTAATAGTATCCACAGGAGGTTTGCTACCCCTGTATC